TGCATCTTATGGTATATTTTGTTTTTAATAAAACTTATTTAATGACTAAAATATAAAATGGAAAGTGCGGCCATTCATGATTGATCACCCGGTATAAAGTGTACTATTAATTTTGTCCACCGTAGATAGTATGGCGAATATATTTTCTTGAGTTTTTTCATAAATACCAAAGTATTCATCATTGTTTTTATTCTTTGTCAAAACAGAACGAATGCTTGTGAGAGAGATAAATCTAAATCAGAAATGTTTTATAAACAGTGGTTTTTCAATCAATAACTATCGATTCAATAGGAGTGGCCATAAAGACAAATAATCATGATTTGAAATTGGCAATATTACTTTTATTTTTAATCTTTATTCAATCTTGTCTGATTATTCAATATTGTACAATTAGATTTTCTCAACTTTTTTCTAATACTAAAATGAAGAATGTCAAATGATTTCTTGTGAAAATTTTGTATATGGTCATTTTCATTAAACAATATTAATCATAAATATTTTTTTTATGCCGGCTGCTGGCATAATTAACAAGTTAAGATGGGATTAATAATTATTCAGGTTTTTATATTTTAATTAGAATAATGAATAAATATTCCATTTTTATTTAAAAAAAACAATTAAATAAAAAAACACCGATGTAAACAATCAAATACAGGATGGCCTAAAAATCACTGTACCAAACAAAAAAAATGTATATCATCACTAGTATTCATGCAAATAACTTGACTGCTTTATCGCTGATAAAGAAGCAGAGACATGGCTCATATTCATAAGATAAACATTAATAAGTCTTCTTTGACATGTAATTGATGACTTGAACAAAGAATGTAGTTTGAGGTGACTATTCTTTACTAAAGAGTTTTAGAAGTGGTTAGGTTGACTAGTACCCAACCTAACATTTTGCTTGGGGAAGAGTGCAAACAATCGGTTAGGTTCGGATGTCGAACATACAAAAAAATTACTAGATCAGGTTCGTGTATGCTCACCTAGCCGGCGATACTTGGCAACCAGGTATATCTTGACAATCAATGATGCATTTATTTGTTACTTGTGCATATAAAAGTGAAAAACAGTTTGAGCCTATCTTAACAGATAGATTGGAATATTTGAGAATAACTAGCATAGTTAAAAAGACACATTGCTTTTAATATTCATGAAGAATTGTATGTCAAAGTGATCTAGTACACGAAAAGTAAAGTAAGTCATTCAAAGAGTGAAAATATATTTTTATAGTAAAAACAACCATGATACATATTAAATATGTGTATCCTCAATATTAATATTAATTTTAACTTTAGGAACATCAGCAACAAATCGCAATATATATTTAGTGATGCTGACTCAATTTTGGAACTAGGACGATAGCAGTAGTCTAATAAATCACTTGGTTTCCTCAATTTCCTGTCTAATATCGGATAGTCTCTTACATTCTTAATTATTTATCTATGTAATTAAATTGAATATTTTTGAATGTGAAATAAAAGTTTGGAAACATTTTCTTAGTAAAAAGAACTTGCCACTTATCGGGTACTATCGGATCAGGATATGAAAAATTACGCTCATACAGATCATAAAGTTACTAACTTGAACAATTATACTTCATTACGGTAGTCTAATTTTTAATATTTTTCCTATGAATATGAACGATGAATATTGCTTTATCAATGGTAAAAACTCAAATGTATTGAGTCACAATATAGCGAAAACATTGAACGTTTTTGTTTCTTGTAAGGCGACTTTTAAAACATCCTGTATATATACATATAAAATAGATTGAAAAATTCTATTCTGTAATGTCGAATTTTTTTAAAAAGTGTGCACCACCAGTTTTTGAATAACTCTTCATCATTGATAGCTATCGAGTTCGAGTTTTAGCCATTCGATATACGGTACGAGGGGGTGTCTATTCATATAAGATTCATTAGATTCGAAGAAGTTTTCCATGGATATTTTCAAAGTGAAAAATTTTTCATTGTCTGTTTGCATAAGTTTTCATAGCAGCCTAGGCTCCAAATATACCAAAATGTAATCCGAGAAGCCTTGCATTCTATATAAAATTTTAAAATCTGTCTTTCATATTCTCGAAGAGGAATAAGTCTGAGAGGTGAAGATATTATCAAGAATATAGAACTCTTTGGACTACATTTTGGTGTAATTTGAGTCTAGGTTGTTATGAAAACTCATGCACATAGACAACGAAAAATTGTTCACTTTGAAAACATCCATAGAAAACTTCTTTGAATCTAATGAATTTTATATGAATAAACGCCGCCCGTATCACTCTATCGAATGGCTAAGACCCAAGCTTGATAGTTATCAATGATATAGAGATATTCAAAAACTGATAATGCACACTTTTAAAAAATCCGACATTAGTTTTGAAGGAAACATAAATCGGAGAACAGCAAATACAACTATAGAATCATGCAAAAAAATGAAAATTTTCTTTCTTATCGTAAATAACAACTATTCAACTGAATTTGTGGTTAATGTTGTTGCTTGATGTGCAAATGAAATATCATTGTTAGTAGAAGATGATTCAAACGTAGGTCTCGGATTTTTTGGATCGTTCATTTGCATACGTTCAATTGCATTCATCACCCATTCAAGTGACGTTTTCATCTTTCATATTAGACAAAAACTTTTGAGAATATTTGGAAACAGATATTTAAAAAACGTATATACCTGATCGAAACGATTTTCCATTCTCGAATTGTTCTAAATAATCAAAAAGAAACGAAAATGAAATAAAACTAATTTCAAAATATAAATAAAACTATACATCTTCTAATCCTCTTTGAGTTTCCAGAAGAACTGATTTGCATGTCGACATTAATTCATTTTTTAAGGTTTCTATCTGTTGTTCTTGATTTAAAGTTGTTTCTGCAACTTTCGAACTATAAAAATAATAATTAAGTAATTAAAATTCTAAAGTCAAGAAAAAAACAATAAACATACTCAGTTTTCATCATTGTTTCACTCGATTTTTCATGATTCACCGTTAAAGTATCTTTATTTTTTTCTAATATTGAACGCATATGACTATGCACTGCAGCATTTTCAAAAGAATCCCATTGTTCATTTTGTGAATCACTCGTAGGAATCATTTCTATATTGATTATTAATATATACATATATTATAGTTTTAAAATAAAGAAGACTCTTTCAAACTTACTAAAAACACGTGTGAGCTTTTTTAATAGTGAAACACCATTTTCACTGATCATTCGATTTCGACTCAGTTTCGAGAAATATATGCGTCGAATATTCAAAAAAAGTAATATGATATGTGGAATAACAATTAATGGAGGATAAGATAATGGTAAACGTTCAAAATATTCTTTTACAAATGAATAACGTTGAAAATGCCAATAAAATTCTGTATTTTCTCGAACTTCATCAATAGAATGACTAGATTGAAAAATAGAAAAGGATTCGAAATCAAAATTTTTGTTTGGAAACATTTTGAACATTCCTATTGAAAAAAAATCTACTTTTCTATTCATGATTATTTTGATAGAATCATTTAAAATAACACTATGCATAGAATAGGAATCAAAAGAAGAACAACGGTTGCTAGTGATTATGAATGCAGTCCACAAATACTATTTAAAATTAGATGATAGAATTACAATAGACAAAGTTAATAAATTGTTAACCCTTTCCAGCCGGCTACCAGAAGACAGAGAGCAAAGAAATCTTTTCCTGCATCGCTGTAGTACCCTCACCATGGGGATAGGAAAAGTGTGTTCTTCGGAACAAAAAAGTTCTTCGGTATCGAATGGCTTGATGTTGCCATTTGGCAACACCCGACTGTAAGGGGACAAAAATTTTGAAAAATTCATTTTTTTTTCATCTATCATAGTGCAATATTTTATGGTTTTTTTTTTCATCCACACCTCTATACTAAATCGTAGTT